TCTTCATGACAGTATGACAAGTAAACTGAAGCTTCTGAGACTGTATGTTCACACTAACTCTTTTGTGTGTGTTAAAAACACTGAAAATATATGTTAAACTTCCACACAGAATCAATCATGGAAGGTGAACAAGTTTGGAAAGGGAGGGTGAAGGGAGCAAAATAAGAAAACAAACAGGTACGGTGTGTGAAGGGAAAGGCAATACACAATGATGGGGTCATGTTATTGTTAAGAGCCAAGGAGTTGCCTACAACTCAAAGCGACCTCACAGATCTGAACCCTGCCCTATCCCGTGCTGTCTTCCTTGTCTCCGATATTCTCAAGTCCACTGTTAAGGTCACCGTGTCAACCCAGCCGACTGAGGGTCTTCCTCTCTACCCTGACCTTCCACCTTTCCCAGCATGATGTCCTTTCCAAGAACTGGCTAGTCCTGACAACATAGCCAAAGCATGTGAGAGAAGTCTCACCAACCTTGTCTCTAAAGAACACCCAAGTTGCTCCTCTGCCTAGACATATTTGATTGTTTTTTTTTTTGGCAGGCCATGGAATATTCAGTACTCTTCTCCAACATTACAATTCAAAGTCATCAATTCTTTTTCTGTCATCCTTATTCATTGCTCAACGTTTAGATGTATAGCAAGTTAATTAAAAAGACCATGGCTTGTTCATTAGACGTGTAATTAATGAATTAGTCATTAATGGCAATTAACTTCATAAAACAAATGTCCATGACTGGTTAAATGAAAAAACCAATGACTTGTATACCCTCATGCAAATAAAAAAAACCCTGCAAGGTTATAAGCTACAGCGCTCTAGACTACTACTCTAGAGGGGTGCAATCATGAGTTCAAATACTTTTCCTTACTATTTTCTGGGTTTTGGGCTGTTATATTGATTTCACAATAATCTTGACAACATAGAGAGGGAAAAAAAACCAAAAAACCTTTCCACAAAAATGAAGCACAATCTCAAGTTTGAAGATTTCAAATTGCAGAGGTTTTTAAAATCATCTTTTCCCCTCCTTTGACTATGGTAAAAAAGGGAAAACTTGGAAATCTGCAAAAAAGCTTTTGAACAGGAAAATGCCCAGATCCACAAACCAGAATTTACTCTGACCACAGACCAGCACTGAGCCTTGCGTACATGCACCCTGCGCCCAATTCTAACAAATGTTAATATCGAATTCAAGCTCACATTCAGAAGTCAGTTAATTAAAGGATGAGAAAATGAAAACTCTTAATACATTGCCAAAAGCGAGAACCAGTTCGCAGATGACCCTTCACTGGGGTTCAGAGGCTGTGAATCTTACAGGAGGAGATTGCCCATCTTTCTCCATCGGAGTTGCTGGTGGATTCAAGCCGCCAAAGGGTGCAGGCTCTGTCTGGATTAGCAGTGCAGTTGCCTGCAGACTGTGCCACTGGAACTCTTTAAAAGAAGAGAAAGGACGACCTGCCATGGCAGGTCCACTGAAGGCAGGGAGCAGGGCAGAGGGCAGAGGACAAATGGTGGAGGAGGGCAGCTCCTGCCAATCAGCCCAGGTACAGGAGTCCTGGAAGGTGAAGTCCGTTATGCTTTCAACCTCCTCGCCAAGCCCAGGGCAAGAACTCGAGCCTTTAGGAAGCAGCCGGAGCAGGCCTAATTATAGTCAAGGGAACTGAACAGCCAACGCTCAGGCCGTAACAATAAAGAGACCACTTCTTTTATGTGTCAAACATCATCATGCCTTTTAGAATCATTCTTTAAAGGGGCACTTTGAAGTACAGCTTCAGATACTTAGTGTTGAGCTAGAGAATGAGTCCAATGTATTATTAGGTTCTGAGTTAAGCGGTGGACCACTAACAGAAAAGCTGCTGATCTGACCCCACTCAGAGTTAACTACGAAGATTGGACATGCAATCTGCTTCTGAAAGGCCACAATCTTGAAAACGCTACCAGAGCAGCCCACTCCGCACACAGGTGACCCCGGGTCAGAGCTGACTTGACAGCAACGGACAGGAACCGACCTTTTCTACTTCACTGTTATATGATGTTGGTTTTCTACAGTTCTGGGACCTGTTCTTTAATAGCTGATCTTATTAGAATGAAGTGACATTTTTTAAATTTGAAAATTCTGAAGATCACTTTTCCCCCTTAATAGTTCCAATATTCCTTAAATTAACAACAATATTTAGAGAACTGGAGAATTATGTTTGATATTCTGTTCTTGGAGAGGCTGTGCTCTTTCGTAGTGACCAGTTTTCAAACTTTTTCACAAAGCAAGCCTTTAACAAGTCCAAACTTGTAAATATAAATGGAGTTGGAGACAAAAGATGAAAGAAATGGCATTCCTGGGGAAGCAGGTCAGATGATTTTCAGACTCCAAAGTGTCCTGATAGTTTTACATGATTGAGTCCAGTTCCTGAAAAAACCCTGCCAACAGGTAACAGGTCTTCGAAAGCTTTTGAAGCTGAAGGCTCCCCACCAGCCAGTCCATCTCTTATGAAGTTCTCAGCCTCATTAAGAATGAGAAACAGATACCATGGCACCGATCTGTCTACGAGAACACACTGAGACAAATGTAATTGCCTGTATGAGGAATATAAATCAGCAACTCCCAAATCATTCATATTTACCCCCACTCCATTTTGGTTGTCTTTCCTTTATAATTTGGCCATACATCGATGCCAAGCGTGTAATTTCTTCTGGGGCTTTATCAGGTACTGCCCAGAGCCATGATTATATGGTGCACAGAGCTTCTTCCTCCTGAGCAAGTCTATCTTTAGCAGCTTCTTGATAACTACCTCTTATATATCAAAAGGAAAGTCTTATTTCTTTTATGTGCTTCAGAATCATGAAATACAACATTTGCTATTTATCAGGTGAAGCCATTTTGTTTTTAGTTGCCACTATAATTTTTCAAAGGAAAGCTATCTTATTCTTTCTCTTTCTAAATAGTAATTTTAAAATTCTCTTTCTTCTGTGGAAGGAAAAAGTCTCTTTCTTTTCTATATGTGGGATATAAACAATTTTTAAAAATGAATTATCATTTATTTTAACAAAGTTTAGAGACACTTTAAAAAAATAATATTTTTTAAAAATTTTGGTGTTTAATTCATTGTTTCATAAGATCATTCTCTTATTAATTTTTTTTATCTACACCCACTATTACTTCTTTCTTTCTTTCATATCCCCATTGAATTTTCTTAATTCTTTAACTCACTCCCTCCACCCACCAAACTGTGACTCTGTGAATCCCCATCCCCTGCAGGAGCTGCAGGTGCTGACGTGTCAGGAAGCATCAATGGCAATGGCAATTGTGACAAAAATTGATTGGAGAGTTAGAGTTAAGTATAGACCAACAGGAATAAGTAAGTATAGACCAATAGGAATAAGTAGTTATAGACCAATAGGAATAGGAAGTTATAGGCCAATAGAAATTAAGCATAGAAGCTACCGAGGTAAAGGGTATATAAGGGGCTGGGAGGAGGAAGTGCACGCCGCGGCCGCCATTTTACCACAATAAAGAAGCTTTCAGCTGCAGCGAATCCCAGTGTCGTGTGCGTTCTTTTCATCCCGCGGGTGGGTTCGGAACGCGGCAATCCCCCCTTAGGCCCACTGCTCACTCCCCTACCCCCTCTCAACATTTATACACATCTTACTAGTCATCCTTCTATTTTTACAGTAATTGTCTTAAGCAGTATTTATCCTTACGACACTGAGTTAGTTCACTCAGTACAATGTTCTCAAGCCTCGCCCCTGTTACACAGTACTTCATTGCTCCTGAGTGCTGCTTAGTATTCCATCATGTGTATGGACCATACTTTCTCAATCTAGTCATTTGTTCATGGGCATCTGGACTGTTTCCATGTTCCTGCTATTGTGAATAATTCTATATTTACAATTCAAATTGCAATAGAAATGTCAGAGGTCTCTCCAGTGACCACTGTATCACTTATTAAATTTGACTTTCATCTTCTAATGTCAAGGGTAAGATTAGATACTGACCAATCAAAATAGAAGGGTATATTCTAGAAGTCGTCATACACAAACAAGTAAGCCAACAAACAAATAAAACCTTTCACTCTAGGCAATTTTTTGAAAGTCACACACTATTCCCGGTAATATGCTTCTTTTATTTTTGTGCCTTTATGTTAAAATATATATTTAAACAAGGAACAAAGATAATATTGAATTTTTCCATAGACTTTGCCTTCTTATTTACAGTGTTACATTGTAAATCATATTCCACTGTACACAAATTCAAGACTCTGCATTACTGTTCTTCTCAAATACTCTTTCATAATATAGAACTTATAGCTTGAGGCTATGCAGTGTTGAAGTTTAGAAGAGCTAGAGGGGGAAAGTACAAATTTTATCAATAGTACTATTATTTTAAAAGGTCTGACCTCAATTCTCTTCTAGATTGTTTCACTGAAACCATTCTTTGTTACTGAAAAACGCCCCATATGAGGTATGAGGACCACAGTTTAAGCTACCACAGGCTCCACTTAAACTGGTTAACAAATAAAAACACGTCATTACTTATTAAGATTATTATATGCTACAGTACCACTGTCAAACCATTTAAACAGGCAGATTGACTCTTCATTTCAGACAAATCAACAACAGTTGGCACCTCTTTATGAAATTAAAATTATTTCCTGAAACTTTTAAGTTTTACTTTGTAAACAGTTAAAGCACACATTTTGAAGAAGATTTAATCATTTCTGTTTTAGTTTACACAATACAGAGAAGTTACTATTTTTTAAGGAAGAATTGAGTACACACACACACACACACACACACACACACACACATTCTCATTCTCTCTCTCTCACTTTCAGTCAAGCTCACACACATAACTAAAAGCTAGCTACAGCAGCACTTGTGCCTCGAATGGTGCATGAGGTTGTATGAGGAATCCCAGAAGGAGGAAGATGAAACATCCAACTTCGGTTAAAAGGCCCAGAAAACCGAGGTTCTGGAATGCTTCTCAGATGTTTCCTGCTCGACCTGAAGACTCAGTTCACTGGGCTATCCAGGCGGCACACCCCACCTTCGATTGCTACGGACTGTCCTGCCACCGCACCCAGAGGGAGCCTGGAAATGTGGGTCTGTGGAGAGAGAGACATGGAGAATGTTAGAGGAACTGACTGCACTCCGCCAGCCCCATGGTGCCCACATCCAATGAAAATGGAGGAAAGGCCCATGCACGAAAGCTTCACTTTGCCTCTGGTCGTACAAGAGCCGTGATATTGATGACCATTAGGAATCAAAAGATCCCATTACAGAGCACCTACAGCACCAGACACTGTTAGCAATGGGAGAAAAAGATGACCAGCACAGAACTTCCTACTTATGCATCATCGGAACATTACATGTTTCAGTGACAACATATGGAAACAAATAAAATATACATACTATAAAGATTTAGGGGAAATTAAGAATATCTGATCAGTATTTATACCACTAATTCTTTTTCCTTCAAGGACTGAAGGACCTTACAAAGATTCAGACAATCTACTAACCTAAAGAAAGAAAACAAACAAGAGAAAAAAAAAAAAAGTAGAGCTTTTAAAACACTGGCAAAGTACTAGTTGAAGAAGTTTTGTACTCGTATCCTTTTCAGTCATGAAAATAGCTCTGCAGTAAAGACAGAAAATAAAAGTAAAAAGAAATGGTTGATTCCTACATAATCCTGAACAGCTCTCTATGACAACAAGGGGGAGGGGCTACTAGGAAGTACCTCGTGAGGCAGACCCTCATAAGCAGCCTCACAGAGGTATCCAATTCTCATCAACAGCACTGGATTTCCTGATCAAATTGATTTAAAGATTTGCCCACTGAGTACCTCATGAGGAAAGTCAATAATTTATTACCAATCCCTAGCCTCCCCTTTTTTAAAAAAAATAAATTTTATTAATTTTAATAAATGTTTTCAGAGATTTTGGATTTCCATTCATTCATTGTTGCATTTTTCTTCCTGCCCACCCCTCCCCCCAGTTTGCTCTTCTCTTCGAAAAGTAAAGAAAAATTCTTTCTTTGGTATAAATACCCCCCTCCGCTCTGAGTACACTCCACTATGTAACCTTCATTCTGGACTTTTGTCACAACCATAATACCCAATCATATATAGCTTTTACAGTTCTCTCCCTCATCTGTCTCAATGCAGTATACAAAAATTATGCAATTTTTCTCAGTCTCACCCCAACCCCCATGTCAGTCCTCAGTCCCCTTTGTCCTTTTGTGACTGAGATACCTCACTCAGCATAATGTCCTCCAAGGTCACCCATTTTGAATAATATTGCATGAGTTCCTTGTTTTTCAATGCAGCATAGTATTCCATTGTGTGACTATACCACAACTTCTCTATTCATTTGTTGATGGCCACTTAGGTTGTTTCCAACTCTCTGCTATTGTGAACAAAGTCACAATGAACATGGTTGTGCATGTATCTGCCTAGGTGGCAGTTATGGTTTCTTTAGGGTACATTCCCAGTAATGGAATTGTTGGGTCAGACAATGGTATTTCTATTTGCAACTTTTTGATGAAGCACCATACAGCCTTCCATAGTGGTTGCACCATTTTACACTCCTACCAACAGTGATTAAGGGTTCCAGTTTCTCCGCAACATCGCCAGCATTTGATGTTTGCTGCTCTTGTTAAATTTTGCTAGTCTTACTGGGGTGAGATGATATCTCATAGTTGTTTTGATAGCCTCCCCTTTCAAGGAGAACATAAAAGGAACTCCTAGCAGTTCTGGCGGTCCAGGGTATAGGGAATAAATTGTTGTTGTTTTTGTTCTGTGCCATTGAGTTGCTTGCGACTCATAGCAACCCTATGTACAACATCCCTAAACTCTGCTCTGTCCTTTGCCAATCACACCGTCTCCAATACACCCACCCTGATTACCGCAATCACTGAATCAATCCACCTCATAGGGGGCCTTCCCCTTCTGTGCTGTCCCTCCACCCTCCCAAGCATGATGTCCCTCTCCAAGGACCTGTCCCTCCTTGCAACATGTCCAAATTATGTTAGATGGAGCCTTAGAATCCTTGCCTCCAAGGAGCAGCTGGGTTTGACCCTTTCCAGGATGAATCTGTTTGTTTTCCTAGCAGTCCATGGTATTCTCAATACTCTTCTCCAGCTCCACAGTTTAAAGGCATCAATTCTCCTTCTATCCTCCTTAGTCATTGTCCAACTCTCTGATGTATAACAAGTGATAGCAAAGACCATGGCCTGTATCAGATGCACCTTAGTCTCCAAAGAGACAGCATTGCTCGTCAGTACTTTGGAGAGGTCCCTAACAGCAGACTTCCCCATCGCAATACGTTTTCTAATTTCCTGGCTGTTGGTGTCGAGAGTGTTGACTGTGGAGCCAAGCAAACTAAAGCTGTGAACAATCTCAATCTCTTCACCATCCATCCTGATGCTGCCAATTGGTCCAGTGGTGAGAATCTTTGTCTTCTTGACATTGAGCCTCAATCCATATTGGAGGCTGCAGTCCTTGACTCTCTGCAGCAAGTGCTTCTGGTCCTCCTCAGTTTCAGCAAGCAGCGTTGTATCATCTGCATATCACAAATTGTTGATAGATCTTCCACCAATCTTGACCCCATATTTCTCCTCATAGAGCCCAGTCTCCCGGATAATCTGTTCTTCATACAGGATGAAAAGGTATGGAGACAGGACACATCCCTGGTGTATGTCCTTCCCAATCATGAACCATGCAGTGTTTCCTTGCTCTGTTCTGACAACTGCCTCTTGGTCCAAGTACAGGTTTCTCATTAGCACTATCAAGTGTTCTGGTATTCCCATTTTTCTCAGAGGGAATAAATTAATCATTAAAAAATAAATCAAGGAGAGACTAATTATTTTCCATAAGATGTCCATGATGTCTTCATCATGCTGGTCTTAAAGCAATTGATTTTCTATTTAACAAGAGACTGAACCAGAAATAGAAGGAAGAAATTCCTGTCTTATGGCTGTGGAGGCCTGACGGCAATCCTGAGAAATCTACAAAACACAGCCAGCCAACCCAGATTTATCACTATAATCACCCCCCAAATATCCCCACTGTCGCTGTCAGTTCACCGGCAACTTAACAGGGGTAATTACAAAGGAGGATACACCACTCCGGACGAGGATCAGAGTCAATCTAGCTCAGTTTTATTGGGATAAGCACTGCACTTATACACATAGGAAAACAGGATAGGGTGGGCTTATAGACGTAGGACATGTGGATTGGTCAGGAGAATAGCCTCGTGGGGATCACTCCCGGCTCAACAGACGCGGTAGCCATCTTCCCAGGTGGCGAGCTTTCTCTACCCCGCATTAAAGGCCGCTGGGAGGCTTGCACCTGTCTGGAGCTCAGGCGACCAGTCCTGGCCAAAGGTACTCCCTTACTCTCCAACATTCCACGACATCCCACCAAGTGATGCATGGAAAAAATGGAGTAAAGTCACAAGGTATCAAAGAAGCAGCTGGGATAAGAAAATAGGAGTGGAGAAAGTGAGTATGGTTTAGTGCTATTAACAACACTTAGGCAAAATACTTATATATTAAAAAAAAAAACTCTTCCTGTTGTTAGTTGTCATCAGGTCAGCTCTAACTAGTGAGGAAGCTATTACAATGGACATATCACACTCCATCCTCACAGTCACACCTCTGCAGAACCGACTGCTCAATCATCTTGGTGAAGGATCTTCCTCTTTCAAAGGGACCTTGCACTTTACCAAAAATGATCTCTTTTCCCTGGGACTGGCCTCTCCCAATAACACAGACAAACTATGAGAGATAAGATCTCACCACCTCTGCCTCAGAGGAGTGTCCTAGTTGGACTTCTTCCTTGACTGTTCGCTCTTCTGGCAGTCCATGGTAGATTCAATATTCTTTGCTGACACCACATGTCAAAGGCATTCATTCTTCATCATTTTTCCTTATCCATTGCACTTTTACATCCTTATGAAATGACTTGAACTACCACAGCTTGGATTAGGTACAACGTAGTCCTCAAAGTGACATCCTTGCTCTTTAGCAGTTTAAATAAAGTACATGGCATTGAAACAGATAAGGAGAGAACTGTATAAAAGGAATATATGATAAGGTATTACTGGTATGACAAGAGTCCAGAATAAGAGCTGCATAGTAAAGTGGTCTGAGGTGGGGTAGGGTAATCCTCTATAACAATGAAAGATCTTTTTTCCAAAGAAAAAAGTGCACTGGGGGCTGGGGGAGAGCATGGAAGAAAATGTGTAACAATGAATGAATGGAAATACAAGTTCTTTATAAACTTACAACAAAAATCTCATCTTTTTTAAAAAAAGGGGGTCCTTTATGGTAGATTTGCCCAATGCAAATAATTTTATTTCTTCACCACTGCTATCATGGATGTAGACTGCAGATCCAAGTTAAAATGAAAATACTGACAATTTCAATCTTAACTCCACTTGTCATTGCACTGCTTATTGGTCCAGTTCTGAGGATTTTTGTTTTCTTCATATTGAAGTGTAATTCATACTGTGGGTTTCAGTCCTTGAGTTTCATTAGTAAGGGGTAGTTCATCTACATATTGAAGGTTGTTGGTGAGAGTTCCTTAAATTCTGAAGTCATGTTCTTCTTTACATGGTTCAGTTTCTCTGATTATGTACTCAGTATACAAACTGAATGTTGCGGCTGTGGTTATGTATTGCTGAGCTGACTACGATTCACAGCGACTCTATGAACAATAGCTCTGAATCCTGCCCTATCTTGAGCCAATCTCACTGTCTCTGACACACCTGCCCCCACTACCACAGTCACTGTGTCAGCCCATCTCATCCAATGTCTTCGTTTCCTGTACTGACCCTCCACCCTTCTCTAAGCACTAGTTCCTCCTGCCAATATTACCAAAGTTTGTGAGATGGAGCTTCAAAGTCCTTGCCTCCAAGGAACAAGGACTTTTCTCCATCTAACATGATGTTACCAATTGGCCCAGTGGCGAGAATCTTGGTTTTCTTGATGTTGAGATGCAGTCCATACTGAAGACTGCAGTCCTCGACCTTCTGCAGCAAATGCTTCAGGTTTTCTTTAGTTTTGGAAAGCAAGGTTATGTCATCTTATTGATGAGTCTTCTTCC